GTCACCGGCCTGGACGTGCGGGCGCCCTACGCCGAGTACCTGCAGGTCGTCAACTATGGGCTGGGCGGCCACTACGAGCCCCACTTCGACCACGCCACCGTAAGCAGCGCCATTGCGGGGACTCCTCGGGGAAGGCCTCGTCTGGGGGTCCCCGGGGTGCTCCTTGGGGTGGTCCCAACATGGACTCTGGGGTGTACGGGCTGGGCGGCCACTACGAGCCCCACTTCGACCACGCCACCGTAAGCAGCGCCATTGCGGGGACTCCTCGGGGAAGGCCTCGTCTGGGGGTCCCCGGGGTGCTCCTTGGGGTGGTCCCAACATGGACTCTGGGGTGGTCCATGGGTTGTCCCTTAGGGCGGACCAGGAATGGCAGGGGGTGAGCGGCCAAGTGTTGGGATGGAAGATGGGTGGGTGGATGATAGATGGATGGATGGATGGAGAAAAGAAATAGGGAAAGGAAGAGGGAAAGAAAAGGAGAGAGAAGGAGAGGAAGGAAGAGGAGAAGGTGAAGAGAAGAACACGGAGAAGAGAAGGAGGAGGAGTAGGGCGAGGACGGGAGGAGGAGGATGAGGATGAGAGGAGGAGGAGAAGGAGGATGAGAAGGAACAAGAGGAAGAGATGGAGAGAAGAAGGAGAGGATGAAATGAGGAGAAGGAGGGGGAAAGGTGAGGAGAAGGTGAAGGGAATGAGAAGGTAAGAAAGAGAAGGAAGAGGAGGAGGAGGAAAAGGTGAAGAGGAGCACGAGAGGAGGAGAGAGAGAGGAGGGATGGGGAGGCAGGGAAGGAGGAATCTCAGCACAGTCCTAGTTCACTCTACCGTGTCCCTCAAAATCTTTTTCTGGGGAACGTTTTTCAACCATGGTGAAATCTGGTTACAACCCACCAGATTTTTCTGGGGAAAAGAAGCAAGTGGAGAACAGCTCAGTTGGGGCCATTTTGGTTCCAAATCTTCACTTTGCACCCCAAAAAAAGGCGTTGAGGCTGGAGTCGCTGCTGCGCACTGCTCCTCCCTGGGGTCTGCCCGCGGGCTGAGTGGCGCCGGCCCGGCCCTCACCCGCTCCTCTCTCTGGGGCAGTCCAGGAAGAGCCCCCTTTATAGGATGAACTCGGGCAACCGCATCGCCACGCTCATGGTCTACGTGAGTGCCCGCGGCTCCGCGAGCTTGCAGCTGCGTGCTTGTCAGTAGGGTTCAGAGTGAACACGGCCTCCACAAGGATTTTTGCAGCTGCGTGGTCCTCAGTAGGGTTCAGAGTGAATGCAGAGTGAATGCGGCCCGCACAAGGTTTTTTTGTAGCTGCATGGTCTTCAGTAGGGTTCAGAGTGAATGCAATCAGAGTGAATGTGGTCCACAAAAGGATTTTTGCAGCTCTGTGGTCCTCAGCAGGGTTCAGAGTGAACATGGTCTCCACAACTATTTTTGCAGCTGTGTGGTCCTCAGTAGGGTTCAGAGTGAACATGGTCCACATAAGGATTTTTGCAGCTGTGTGGTCATCAGTAGGGTTCAGAGTGAACGCAGTCAGCGTGAATGCAGTCTGCATGAGTTTTTTTTCAGCTGTGTGGTCCTCAGCAGGGTTCAGAGTGAACATGGTCTCCACAACTATTTTTGCAGCTGTGTGGTCTTCAGTAGGGTTCAGAGTGAATGTGGTCTCCATGAGCTTTTGTGCAGCTGCATGGTCAGCAGTAGGGTTCAGAGTGAACGTGATCTCCATGAGCTTTTGTGCAGCTGCATGATCAGCAGTAGGGTTCAGAGTGAATGCAGTCAGACTGAATGCAGCCCGCACAAGGTTTTTATGCAGCTGCATGGTCCTCAGCAGGGTTCAGAGTGAATGCAACATCTATGATCTTTTTTGCTGCTGGTCATCAGTAGGATTCAGAGTGAATGCAGTCAGAGTGAATGCGGGCCACACAAGGATTTTTGCAGCTGTGTGGTCATCAGTAGGGTTCAGAGTGAATGCAGTCAGTGTGAACGCAGTCTACACAAAGATTTTTTGCAGCTGCGTGGTCATCAGTAGGGTTCAGAGTGAACATGGAGAAAGAGCCGGGGGAGGGGAGGTCACGGGAGCCTTCAGCGAGGCCTCACGCCGTCCCCCCTTCTCCAGCTGAGCTCGGTGGAGGCCGGCGGCTCCACCGCCTTCATCCACGCCAACGTCAGCGTGCCCGTCGTGAAGGTGAGCGGGGCCCGAGCCCCGGAGCGGGACTCGAGGATGGGGTGCCCAAGGCCATGGCCGGGACTCTCTTTTGGGGCAGAACGCGGCGCTTTTCTGGTGGAACCTGCGCAGAAGCGGCGAGGGCGACGGCGCCACCCTGCACGGCGCCTGCCCCGTGCTGGCCGGCGACAAGTGGGGTAAGGAGCGGGGCCGGGCGCCGCGGGCCGTCCCCTCCGCCCCGGCCCCCGCCCCCTTTCCTCCCATGGGCCAACAAGTGGTTCCACGAGCACGGTCAGGAGTGCCGGCGGCCGTGCGGGCCCCGGCCCGAGGACTGAGCGGGGCCACGGAGCGACGGCCTCTACTTTGGGTGGAAATAAAGGCAAAAGGAGAGCGGAGGCTGGGAAAATGTTCTCGTGGTCTGATCAACTCCCCTCAGCCCCCGTTGCTCCTTCTCCCAGCCTCAGATAACCCAAATTTTTCAGCTCTTGGGGTTGGCAGGGGGTGAGGAATACGGTATTTCTATGGTCATCAGTCTGCTTCAGAGTTAACAGTGCTCCGAGCGGTGCAGAGCTTCACAAAGCTACAAAGGTCCCATCCCCCTGGCCAGAGCAAGGGGGGTTAAACCCAGACCGGCTGTGGGGGTGGGGACACATTTATTACTTACAGCTGGGTTTTGGCCATATGGGAGCAAGGAGGCCTGGCTGGGAAATGCTGGAATTTCCCCCTCCCTCCCTCCTCTTCCTCCTCCTCCTGCCCCGAGGAAGGTCAGAGTTAGGGAGAGGGGGAGGAAGGAGCTGGGGCCGGCGGCTTTTCCACAACTGCTTTATTGGTGGGAGGCAGGAGGGAGAGGGACAGCGAGCGACATGCGAAGGGGGGACGAGGCTCCCGCGGGACGGAGGACGGACAGACGGACGCAGCCGGGATAACGGGAAGCAGGCGCTGCAGGTCACCCCGAGCCGGCACCGCTGGGCAGCCCTTCCCAGCCCTTATCCCAAGCCTGGATTTTGGGGAGCGCTGAAAGCACCAGGGAAGGGCCGGTCCCTGCGTGAGACAGCGGAGAGAAGGGAAAAGCAGCAGCCGGAGAGACGGCAGCATCCGCAACCACGCGCCGGCGTGGCAGGAAAAAGGGATTTTTCCCAACGCTCCTGGCCATGGACTTTTCTCCCCAGCACCCTAAAGCTGGAAGTTGATTTAAAAAAAATAATAAAGAAAAATAAATCCAAGAAGTCAGCCCTTAAGCAGACGGGTCTCCTACTGCTGCCAGGACACCCCAAAGCCTCGGGATTTTCCGTTGTGGAAGTTTCTGCTGCTGCTCAATCCAAGAGCCGGAGCAGAGGCAAGTGGGAGCGGGAGTTCCCTATGGAAGTGGCATCCTTCGACGTGGGAGAGTCTCTTTCTGCAGCGCTGCTTTTGCGGAGAAACAAGGAAAAAGCTGTGGAAAAAAAGGAAAAAATGGGGCAGCAAGCTGGGAGGCGAAGAGGGATTTGCCGGATTTCCCAATTTCAAATGGGTCAAAAAGGAGGATTTGAGGCTCCACAAGTGACTTCCTCCATTGGTTATGGAGCACTCTGGATTTCGTTTTCTCGTTCCCAACTGAGGCGTTTCTCGCCCCGGTTTCTCGCGCCCTTCCTCGGGGAAGGGCGGCAGAGTAAGGCCACAGCTTGCTGTGTCCGGGAAGGAAGCGCAAGGGAACAGTGTCTCTCTGTTGGGATAAATCCCAGCCTTTCCCAGCGCTGCTGCTTCCCCCACCTGCACCTCCTGAATGCAAAGGATTCATTTATGGCTCTTGGCATGGGGGGTATTTACAGCCACCCACCGCAGCTCCTTCGATCAGGCCGCAGACAGCCCTGGGCTTCAGCAAAGCAGCACTGGAAAATGCTGCTTCCATCATACAGCACGAGAGGGGCAGGGATGCAAAGGGAAAAAACGGGATCGCAGAAGATCAACGGCCACATACGGAGGAAAACAGCTCCGGGACGCGTCCGCTCTTAGGCCCAGGGGTGATTTTTAGAAGCAAAAGCAACCTCAGAAACGGCCTCAAGAGGAGGGGCCCCGGAGAGAAGCTCTCTGTGCAGAATGGGAGGCAGTCTGGGAAACGCCTGGAAATGCCAGGGAAAAGTCAAGGAAGTGTCGGTGAGAACCAGGTCTTCCCTGCAGCGCGCGTTAGCCAGGGCCAACATCAACAGGACGGACTCCGAGCTCTTCCAAGCTCCAAGCTCTTCCAAGCTCCGAGCTCTTCCAAGCTTTTCTCTGCTGCCCAATTTTTGTGTCTTTTCATCCAAAAAGTGCCGGTCTCCGCTGGATCGAGCGGAGCACAAACCTGCTCCAGACGCAGCCAACGGCCAAATAGGCCAAGGGGCTCTTGGTCAGCACGGAGCTTCTCCGGGATCATGGGCCGGAGGCAGAGGGAGTTACTGAGGCTACGTTTCTCACGAGAACCTGAAACAAACGTTGAGGAGGCTGCAAGACCCGCTGGAAAGGAGCTCGTGGTCCCCCCTTTCCACCTTTTTGTTCCACGTTGCTGCCCAAGTTGGAAGGGGGAAGCAGCGCGGAGGCTCCTCCAGGTGAGATGGGCCCGGAGCTCCCACTGAGGCCGATTCCTTGTCTGTTTTGGGGGAAAAGAGAGATAAGAAACAAACCTAAGGGACGTTTCAGAGACGATTCCGTGGAGCAATCCTGAAGCCTTTGGATTTGCTGCAATGCCCTCCATGGATGTGGGCTGCCAACAGCCCCTTTGCAGTTGGGTCCGAGAAAGCCTGAGGATTCACAGAGCTCGGAATGATTGGGATTTCAGGAGGCCTTTCCTTGAGGCAGCAGAGAGGATCCTGCTCCTGGAGAGCTTGGCACGGTCTTCAGCAGAAGCTGCTTCCCTGCCAGGAAGCCCCTAACCATGGACACGTCCTGGAGAACTAGTTCTAGGGGATGAACCTCACACCAACTTCTCATCGCTGCTGAACTGGAGAGATGAAAGGAGATGGATACGTCACAGTGGCCTCTGGTGCAGTTTATTTACAACGGGACTCAGTGCTGAAGAACACCAGGGTATTAACCAGAACACCAGGGTATTAACAAGCAGGAAACACACTAGGAGGGGGAAAGAAAAGAGAGGAGAAAGCGTCACGTGTGAAAATCCAAGGCTTCTCTGCAAATATCTGACTCTGAGTAATAACTAGCTCTAAGGTGCCATAAACCTAGGTCAACAACAAAAACAAAGCTGTCACGCAGGTTCAGGTGAACATTAAGTTGTGAGAGACACACACAGGTTTTTATATCACACGATAAGGCTTGCAAGCCACCTCACTCCCTCCTGCTTTAAAGCTGCTGTTGCTGCAACCACAACAGCAGAAGCAACAGCCTTAGTTGTCTTTGAAGCCCCGCAGCACTAGCCCAGGTTGCCAAATACCTAGTGGGATTTGAAACTTTGATGCAGTGGAGTCCTTTGATCTTCTCCCTCTCTTGATTCCCACATCTTCCTACTCTATATCCTTTCATTGGAGTTAAAATACGCACTCCTGACACTGCTACTGCTTCATCCCCAAGGACACAAGAGAAAGTGGGGGGAAAAGAAGAGCTCACTCAGCAATATCCCTTCTAGGAGCTAATTTTGGAACTATTTGGAACTATTGGAGCTATTTTGGAACCTTTTTAACCTTCTATCTCTATCACTCACCACCTACTCTCGCTGCTGCTGTGTGGCTGACTGCAGAGGCCTGGCTTCTGTGGTCATTCTGGTAAGAAAACACAGGACAGAAGGATATAGGTGCAAGATGAAGCGCACGGCTTTGTCCTTCTAACTTCATCACTGTTTCTTTGCCTAAGGTGCAAATTGCTTCCAACAGTTAACTCAGTAAAACACTAGTTTTGCCTTCTGGGAGGTTATAAAGAAGGGAATCAGCTAGGTATAACCTGCTTCTCTCCATCCTTCCAAATGAGGGAATTTTATGAATACAACACACAAAAGGTTTAGACTGAGCACAAATATCACCCACGGTGCAGGCTGGGACTTCAAGCTGCTTGTTTATATGCTGCTTTCAGCATATGCCAGAAGTCCCAGCTACCTCCCACCCCAAGAGCCACAAACACCCGGCGAAAGCAACAGCTCCTTTCAAGGGCTGCTCAGCTGGAGCACCAGGGCACTCACCACTGGAATCCACCGATGGGCTCTGTAAACCTGTGACGGATCAGGAACGTCGCGACAGCTTCCGCGACCTGGCAAAGTCGGGGGGAATTTTAAAGGGACGTGAAGACGGCAAGAAATCCCCTCAGTTATCAAAAGCTGCAGCAATTGCAGCACTTCTACTGCTCAGGACCCCTTTTATAGACTTCAAACTGCCTTTTTAACTTTTACATTAAATTGTTCCCTTCAACTAGAACCTCTATCTGGCAGTACCATAAGGTAGTTACCTGCTCCCACCTTTACTCTAACACTCATCACACAATCAAGAACTGGCAAAACTCTTTTTTGTCACCTCTTGCAGTGATTTTAAAATAATGCCTGAATTTAGTAGGTAAAAAAGGTCAGAGTGAATCATTAAGTGATTCTTATAAAGAATCTGACAGTAGTAACACTACTTATTTGTATTATAAGGAAAAATAATTTAGGTGCTCACTGTCTTGAGATAACAGCCCCTGTTTCAAACTGGCAATGGAAAACAGAGAGTTTTACGTTTGTGGCAGTCCATGCAGGACAAGCTTTAAAACCAGGAGCTTCCAGGCTCCACAGTGGCTGGTTCCCACTTCCGCCTTGCAGCGAGCCCCGCTCGGGCTGCACGTTGCTCCAGTCCCATTTGTTTCCCATTTGGAAAATGTGAGCCGCCCAACTCAGCAAAACCCAGAGCAGCTCCGGGAGCTGCAGCTTAACACTAGCAGGAGGGGAAAATGTGCAGGGAAAAGGCAGGAAGGATGAGTCAGGGCACAGGCTGATAACAGCTACATCCCCAGCAGCCTCAGAGTTAAATCCGTAGCCTAGGACACGTAGCCACGTGGCTCCAGTTACAAGGCACGTTGCCTCTCAGCCCAGGCCTTCAAGCTAGCTTAAAGAATGTGATTTAACCCAAGCTGCTTGGAGAATAGCCAGGGATATTGTCAAAGTGGCGCTGAAATACAACCCTCTGCTGCACGGGAAGCGAGAGGCCTCTTCTGCATGCGAGCAGTGGAAACAGAAACTTGATTCTATGGACGTATGGCAATCCTAGTGCCTTAAAATATACATCCAAGGGGCCCATCCTGTGGAATCATGAGCTGCCCAGCCCCGCAGGGGAGCTCACCTTGTCTGGAGCATCTTCGTGGACCGCGTGGCCGCACTGCGGCAGGACTTGCATCTGAAACTTGCCTGCAGATGAAGAGAGCCATCAGAGCTGCTTTTTAAGCAGTCTTAATTTCTACCAGCAATATTTTAGGCAGATGATTCTTGTCAACACGGGGGACACCTACTCTAATAGGACTAAAGAGGCTGGTGTCTTAAAAACACTCTGAATTTATGAGCTCTTCCTTTTCCGAAAAGGATCTCGTTCTTTACAGACAGACCTCCCTACACTCATCCGGGTGAGGAAGGATCAAGGAATGCAGAGGGATTTCAGCCTGCAATACACACGGTGGATGATTCCAGAAAAAAGCACTGCCTGCTTAACTCATCATCCCCCTTAGAGCAGGTCCTGGGAGCCAAAAATGAAGCAAAATGTTTTAGAGCCTCTTGCCAGAGGTAAGCCCCTCTTGAAGAGTCGAGTCTGCTATCAGATCTACCTTAACATGATACTTATCCTGCTATCCATATTACTTTCCGGTACTGACTGCCTCTGGAAATTTAGGAAGCTGGGACTAGAAGGAAAAAATGAATCCATGGAGATGTTAATCCTTATTTGAGGCCTGCCAGAAATAAAAGGAGACCAGATGGTTTTGGAGGCTCCCAAATGTTCTAGCGGGGAGCAACAGCAACGACATTACAAAAAAGGAAAAAAAAAAAAAAAAAGGAAAAAGGAGGTTACAAAAATCCTCCCAATCATTCCGATTGCCCAAGATAAGTGCGGCAGCCCCATTCCTGGAAACATTTACCGCTAGACTGAACAAAATCCATGGCAACGGCCCTGCACAAGTGCTAATTAGACCTTCCCCTTCTCAACTTTTCCACTTCTTCTGCAACCACAGACAGTCGGGAATCGCTTTGGAATTGCCCACATTCTTTAGTGCACATTTGTTTCAATGCAGCCTGCACCTGGTTACACTATCCCAGCTCGCCCTCGTTCACGGCAACAAGTTACCATCCCAAAAGAGCATTAGAGTAACAATATTAAATATTTACCTTGCATCTGTCCAATTGTTAGATCTTTATCCAGCCTGTCGACACCTACATTCAAATAAACAGAGGTATTGGTGGAAAGCCAGAGAAAATACGACCGTCTAAACAGAGCTTTCTTAGAGGTTTTGAAAGAGACATTTGGTGTGAAAAAGGCAAAAGGGACAACATCTGTGAGAGCTGCTAGGATGCTTCCCTGCTGCACTTCATGAGGGTGAAGTGACAGGAAAGATCCTAGCCAAAAATGTGGAAACACATCTCTCCCTGCAACTGAAAAGGGTGTCCAGCTTGGCTAGGCTCTGAATTTCATCTCAGGGCACAAAAAGGGCCTAAAACTGGCTGTAAAACACTGAGGATTTTGACTTTTGGGTGCAAGTCTAAAAACAGGCCTCACTTGTAGGAAAGGATCATAGCAGTAGGGGCTGAAGGGTAGTTTGAAAGGGCCCTGTTTATCCAGCATCATCTCAGTCACACAGCAAAAACAGAAATATCTGCCCAACAGCAGCAAAATGCAGAATGGAGCTATGTGCTATTTTGATATTAGAGGCTCCAATCTAATTACAGAGCTGCATGGAAAACCAAATCAAGTGGCTTATAGCAATTCAAGATGCATAGAAAAAAATCAGGATAGAAGAGATAATCTGCTAGTGTCTGAACAAAATATTAGCCAAACACCAAGCCTACTCTCTAAAGTAAAATGCTCTGAAGAGACACTGAACTTCAAACTGCAGCTACCTACCAGCTAAAAGCAGCAGCTTGGGAGTGGGGCAGCTGAGGAAGAGGTTGGATAAGCCCCTGAACCAGCCATCCCAGTACTTCTCTGTTTTTGCCAGCTCAATTCGCCACGTGTACAGGTGCTCCTTCTTCGTCTGCAGGGGGGAGGAAGAGCTCGGATTAGGGATCAGCAGAAGGGCTCGAGCAAAAGGAGCTCGTGGTGCAACTTCAAAGAGCATCTGAAGAAATGCTGACTCCCTCTGGTGGATTGCACTCCCAGCAGGCAATCCCTCTTGCTCCTAAATTTCTCTCCACACCACAGCAGAGCGTGGAGCAGAAAAGGCAGCAGCAGCTACCCCAGCCCTGCAGTTTTCAGGGCTCTCCATTGGCCTCCCTTTACCAGCACGGAGTTTTCTGGCTACGCACGAGCCTCCAGACCCGGCTCTCCATGAGACCTGGACAACACGGAAGCACAAGGTGCCAAGTTGGCCACGACTGCTGCCCTTGAGGATTTGGGATTCCTAGGCAGCAACTGGCTACACGACCTCCTGAATGCTAATAAGTCTCGCTAACGAGTAAAACCAGCAGCAAGCTCAGAAAAGAGCATTCTTTGCTCAGCACAGAAGCCCCATTTCAGGCCACCACAGCAGTAAATATTTGAAAAAAAAAATGAAAATTAAACACACATGCTAACACACACTTGATCAAGATGGAATCAGCAGAGTGGGACCAAGAAAAAAACAGGAGCCCCAGCTTAAAGTTTAGGTTGCTGGAGTTGCTCCCATTTACACTGATACGACCTGGGTAGCTGCTACTAGTTTTCTTGTAGGGGAGCTCCGTGGAAAGACACAAATGTATTGAAAACACAGCAAGAAACTCCCTACCTCTGTGTCATCTTCCTTCTTCCTTTTGTTGACAGAGCCTCCCCCTTCACCATCTTCTTCCTCCTCCTCTTCCTCTTCAATAATGCCTTCCACTATGGCTTTAGGACCTTCGGGACTGGCAGCCCCTTCACACCTGTGAAAATAAAACTAGAAAATGATTCCTTCCCTCAAATAGAAACATGTTTTAACCTCGAGCCCTCGGCAATTTCTCAGGCATTGGCTCAGAAAAATCTCTCTGAGCATAAAAGGGGCTGTGCATGGAAGATGTGGACAGGACTGAGCGACCATGGAGCAAACGTAGCCCAGGGCAAACACGAGTGCAAATGGCTACTTAAAAAGAAGGAGGAGGTCAAAAACACCACAGCTTCCCCCCACAAACTCCCTCGGACCACTTCTAAATGTGCAACAGACAATTAACTAATTCCTCATAAGTGAAAGATATTACACCCAGAAAGCCAACATTCCTGAATAATACCTATTTCCCTAATGCACACAAAAAGGCAGCCAAACCAAGGAACACACAAGCAACAGCAGGTAATTTTTTAAAATAGGGCTCTTTGGTAGAGTCCTCTGTCCCAGGAAATTCTGGCTGGGTTTTCTCCAAGTGCCATGACTGGCCTCAGTGCCACTGTGGGTATTGGCTGTGTTCAAATAGGAGCACATTTGGGCTTGCTCAAATAATTTTTGACTTTCAAGCACATCCCTGTTTTGTCATATTCACAATTTGTCATACTGCAGAACACACAAGAAGACTGAAGAACAGCTCAAAGGAAAAACAACCTACTCTTTGACTTGACCGACCATAGAAACTCTTGCAGATTCAAGATTTCTTATTTGTCCGCTTTTTACACTGGAAAAAAAAAATGAAGAAAGGCAGAAATAGTTATAGAGCAGAAGTTATAGGTGTGTTCATAAGTAATTAGCAAGTGCAGAAATAGGAGCAAAAAGCCCTTTACAGATCACAATTTCCCCAAGCCATCCCCAAATTATTTGTGTGCAGAAGTTACTCTGAATATAGACACGTGGCTCGAGCTACGTTGCTGACTTGTTTGAATCCTCCTGAGTGTTTCATTACAGGGGAGAAGTGTTGATAGGCAGAAAGTCAGATAGTGACCTGCTTCTTTGTAGAGGCAGGAATAGGGGAGAAACCATGTTCGTATTTAGGAACAGAACCAGCTTTCTGCTCTCCAGTCTGCAAAACTAACCACAAAAGCCCTTTCTTTTCAAACTCAGCTGCCCAAGGTATAAGCAGGGAATTCACAAGTCCCACTTCTTGCAGATGCAGAAGAACCACAAACCGATCCAAACAGCTGGGACATTTACATTCACACCAGCAAAACTCCCTCTTAGTGGATCCTTCTCCATTTCCTAGCCAGCATTCCCAGAAAATTAATTATCCTTGAGACCTCTGGTGATAATTGGTGAAGTGAGCAGGGAGAGAACAGACAAAAATCATTTAAACCTTGTTTTCCCTCAAGAGTCAAGCTAAAAAGGTTTTGGGAGCACCAAAGCCCTGTGTTACCTCCACTCAATTGCATTCTCAAGAGACTTGAATGTTTTGGGACGACTCCTTAAGAAATTCTGCATGCTGTTCAGTGCATCCATGGCTGTACCTAAATAAATCAATAATAATTAGTTTTACTTTATGGCATCTAATAAATTGCCTTGTCAATTTAAAGGGGACTGGCTACCAGGGAATAACCCGAGACACAGCTGAGGCTCAACTGGGGATTTAAGGAAGTTGAGCCCCAAGCCTTCTAGTGCTCCTATCCTACAGGATTCATATTTGAACTAGTAAAATATTCAGATAGTTTAAAAAAAATACCAGCAAACACTCATCAGCACCACGCATTATTCAGAAAAAGTGGGAAAGCAAGCAAATGGGAGAGCCCACCAGGGATAAACAAAAGGAGAGATCACAGCAGCAAGAGTATTTTATGCAGGTAATGTGTTAAGAGGAGGAAATTGGCACTGGTTCAACCACCAAGCCAAAATGTGCTTGGAGAGGTTCAGAGAGGATCGATGGGGAGGCCGGTGGCACGCGGGGGTTCCCACACTCACCTTCCACCACGTCGATCATGCAGAGCCCCAGCAAACTCGGCACGAGCTTGGCGGCGGCCGTGTGCACCGCGATGGCTCCCCCCATGCTGTGCCCGATGAGCATGACCGGCGGCGGCAGGTCCCCGTACAGAGCCTCCACCACGCTGCCCACGTCTCTGCCGAGGAGGTTTGGCAACACAGGAGGAGAAAAAACACAGATCGGAAAGATTCGGGCTCTCTAAGTGCAGCTACGACGGGGCAGGGAGCAATTTCCCCGGATTTTTCCATGAGGAACCTACCTCCAGGCCCTTATGCTCAGGTTGTTGCTGCGAAATGTGAATGTTGCCTTACTCAACTCACATAAAAACCCCAAATAACAGCAGAGCTAAGGCCTGAACTCTGCTGAAGTCAACAGTATTTTGAGAGAGACTCAAAGGCATCAAAACTGGCTGTTTTGAGGAAAAAATAGTCACAGGAGCTGGAAACCTGAGCACTACTGTACCTAGTACATGATAAAGAAGCCCAAAGGAAGGCTGACCAGCTTGTTTGCTCTGACTCACATAAAAACCCCAAATAACAGCAGAGCTAAGGCCTGAACTCTGCTGAAGTCAACAGTATTTTGAGAGAGACTCAAAGGCATCAAAACTGGCTGTTTTGAGGAAAAAATAGTCACAGGAGCTGGAAACCTGAGCACTACTGTACCTAGTACATGATAAAGAAGCCCAAAGGAAGGCTGACCAGCTTATTCGCTCCACCAAAGAGAAAATTACTCCAAGATTTAATAAAAATCTGAAAAGCGGCCATAATATAACGCTCTAGCATCAAGGCTGAATGGGAATAACTTTGAGGCTCATTGCTCAGAGGACAGGACGGTTTAAGAACAAAAGGCAACTTGTTTTCACCCATGTTAGTGCTGCTCCAGATCTTACAAAGAAGAAAAACACTAATTATTCCACAGGGCTCCTCCTCAGGACACGAGCACGAGGGGCCACCAGGCTGCAGGCAGGAGCAATAAGGGACAGAATGGAAGTCAGACTTCATTTCACACATGGCCTCCCCACAACAAACACCGTGGATTTGTTCCTAGGAAGATTGCACAGTCCTTGGTGACTTGATTGTTCACAGGAGAGAGTCTCTTTGTGCTAAATGTGGGCATGATCTGATGGGATTAGCAGGGTGTGTTTGCTTTGCTTGTCCAGAGGGGGATTTGCTTCCCAAAGCAGATCATTACAGGCCCAAAAGGCAGCTCTCCACACGCCTGGAAGCTCCATCTGTGACCCCTGTTTTGGGGATGCCCCCCTGTCAAGGTGAGCACGCTTTCCATGTGCACTCAAGGAGCAAAAGAAGAGCCAAAATGGGGATTTTAAGTCAAAAACGTCCAAGTCAGTTATGTCTGAGGAAATCTCTTCCATCTATTAGAAAATTTCAAGGACATGTTTTAGAGTATTGCTAGTTTAAAGTGTTCACTGCAATAAAACTATTGATTTTTAAACCGGGTTTAAGCCTGAGGGCATCTACAGAACCAGTTCAGACTTGCTGTGTTGAGATCTAATTTCCAGTAAAATTTCAAACCATCCCCAAATAGAAGGAAAGCAATAGGCAGCTACCAGAAGCATGTGAAATTAAACCATCTCCCAGCTGCTCACACGGGGCTGCACATCTTCCAGCATTTCAGTCAAGAGGAGCACACTAATTCAGCCAAGAAAACAAACCAAGGATTTGTGAAAAGAAAAATACTGAGGAGAGAGCACAGGTTTCCTTACTTTGACATAGTTTCTGCAGAAAGATCTTCAGGATTCCTAACTTTTGTCTCTCCTGAAAATCAAAAAGAAAAGTTAAGTTTACATAATGAAGCTGAGAACTTCCAGAGCCCTCAGGACTTGCATTTGGCACAGTCACTGAGGAAAAACCTATTTCCCTTAATATGAATAATTAAGGCACCCAGAATTATGGAAGCAGTTGATACTGTATCACATTGTAACTTAGGGGGCAAGAAACACTCCATGGGTCCATTGCACATTTGGAGTGTATCTTAAAACTGAGCAGCACCTCTATTTCTATGGCAGAGGCTGCCTATAGACTGCAAACATGAAAGAGGGGCTGCTTCCATGTGTAGGAAGGATGAAGGCCACAGCCTCGTGCAAAAGCACAAGGAATCTCTGCTTCTCTGACGTGAAGTTTGAGAGTTGTGGAGATCTAGAAGCCACTTCTCCATCCACGTTTTGATTTTGTAGCCTCTGAACTGAGCCATTTTTGGAGGGATTCATTACACCTCCTTGGATTCAATTGCAAATATATGTATATATGTATAAATGTACTTACATGATATTAAATGTTATTACTTACCATGGCCTCGGAGATCTAATGCCACAATCCTGCATTGAATCCTGTTAATGATTGCAGACTGCAAGAAGGGAAAAACAAAATTAATTTGCAAAGGGTCACACGTGTCTACAAAAGGGTTAGTGACATCAAGCCTGCCCTAAACACCACCAAACACTAGGATGGTGTAAAACAAGAGCCTCCCCTGCCAACAGGGCAGGGTGAACTTGGATAGCACAAGGTCCATCCTTGTGGAATAGCAAGATATTCCTTGTGGAAAGCAGGATGTTCCGTATAAGCTATGCCTATAGTCACCTACTTATAATTAACTAAAGCTCCATCCTTTCTACCATCGTTTACTCCACTTCCACGGATATTTATCTCACAGGGCCACCTCACAAATGCTTCCTAGGGAAACAGATCCAAGGTCTGGAGCACCTTGGAAAACAAAAGCGCCTGCCTGCTGCATGTCCCCCCTTTCCCCAAGCCCCCAGGTTCCCAAATTAGCCCTGGCTCTGGAGCACACACGAGGAGGGAGCAGCTGCCTTGCAGCACGCAGCCCATTCGCTCGCCAGGAGCAGGATTTTACAGTAATGTCCAAATGCACAAAATTCACCGATAGAGCGGAAGGAGGGGACCAAAAGAGCAATGTTTTTAAAGCAGCACAAGGCTGGTGCACAGCCATGCCTCTTTATTTGTATAAGTTATTTCGGGCATCGCACTGATTAAATGGCATTTTTTTCTCTGTCAAAGGGAAGATTTTTTCATCATTTACAACCGATGCCAGGGAAGCATCGATTATTTAAATACTGGCCCTGCACGAAGAGGGGAATTTGTTGAGAGATTCTTAATAGAAACACCTACATTATTGGCAGAGATCTGAAATCACCCACAGAAAATGGCTCGTGTTTTGGTTCTTCAGCTATTCAGCTCCTAGACAAGCACAGTTGTTGCTATTCCAGCCTCTGAATCCAGAAGTTAATATTTTAAGAGCTGCTAAAGTCTTGAAGGAGCTTATTCTCAATGCTTTCCCATTTCAGTTTATATGTATATTTTTAAGCTCTGATTCCCCAAGCCGTTGCCACTCGACTGCTTGGAACAAACTTTAATTGCAAAGCAGACCCAAGAAATAATTTGACACCAGCTAGACACAGAGATGAGCCAATTGCTGCACTTTTCCCCACAGGCAGAGCCAGGTGCAAGACACCAATCCAGGTGAATCCTGTACAGGAAACTCATATAGGATTTAACTTTGCTAATTACCCACAGCAGTATAAAAAGGCAGCACCTGTAAGGTCCAGTGTTATAACTGCAGTCACTTCATATTCAATAAATTATGTCCAGATGCTGAAGTGTAAAAACAGTATTGGCTTTGCTTGTAGGACTAGATTTCTAGAGAAGGTGGGAGGGTCTTGCAAAAAGCTCCTCATTTAACTCAGGGAAACGTGACTTCACGTGCTTGCCCCTGTCTAATTAAAAGCAGTGACCTTTCCTATTTCAGGCACTAAATAAACTGTAACAATAAATACAAGATGAACAGAGAAAAAAAGGATCCGGTCATTTTGACGACTAACCATCTACAAGCAATTAATGCCAGAATTTAGTAAGCCAGAGACATAAGACAAGTTTCAGCACTCCCAGGAGCCCTGCGGCTGTTTCTGGCTAAGCTAAATTACATGCACAAATTAACCAAGTTAGGGGCCAAACTACAATTCAGTACCAAAATTACAGCACTTGCTGCAAGTGCTGTAATTTTACTTGCAATCCTCTAATACCGTTTTGTTCCCTCATTCCTTCTTTTTATTTTTCTGTAGCAGAGGAGCGTTTGGTCAAAAATAGGGTTTGGTCAGTCCATTTGTTCCTATTGACACTCCATCCCTTCATGTTTCTGGGAGCTGCTTAAGCAGCAAACGAGATATCTGGGGTAGTCAAACAAGGCCCCAAACAGGGAATGATGCTGTTGTGGTGAGATAGAGACACTGAACCTTCACCAGGAGTCATGGCAAAGCAGGCTGGCAAAAATAAGGATATACTGCGATGGGTAACGTTGTGACGTGCCATTAAAGCATAAAGGGGACGTGGCAGACGTAGTTGTGGATGCTCTTGCTAATTAAAGCCTAGATAATAAACCTTTGGATGTGCTTTGCCTATTTAATATAGGCACTGAGAGTGAAATATGTAGATTTGAGTCAGGTGGGCACCAGGAAATTAGAGGATACAGAGTCTTCTGGATTGGCTTTTTTTTCCCCCCTGCTTAGTGGGGTTGAATGGTTCTTTGTCTTACATGCTTGAGAAAATATATGTCAGCATATAAATCTATACATCAGTAGCTTACTTACAGTAAACACAGCCCAGGAAAGAGCAGAATGGCCTCCCCCATGTAACAGCAGCAAGACAGGCCCCTCCGATCCGCTTTTGTAAATTCGAAAAGTGTATGAACAGTTAAGGACATCTCCAAGTTATCTGAAACAAGTTTTTGAGTTTAATGTATTGTGGAGTCTCCAACATGCTCAACAGTATTTCACTTCTGCTCCTGCCTAAAGGCCTCGTTTCTGCCTTGGATCAAGCAGTAGGCACAAGCTGAGCCAAACTGAACGTGCTTTAGCTTCAAAGTTTATCTTCCTGCCACCCAGGTCTCCTTCTCCTCCTGTACACCATCTGCCTGCACCCTTTTCTCTGTGTGCACAAAAGGGAATCCGATGACCAAGAGGAAAATCAGCACAGTGTGAGCACACACTTCAAATTACACCATTTTGATTCACCGCTGTTTTCCTGTCACATCTGATAAAACATATCAGACAAACCTGAAACCAGGATTTTTTAGGACAATACAATTGTTTTCTGGGGTAAGAAGTTTGACTAACATGATGTTGCCTCACAGTAATGGGACACGGAAAACTGAGTTAAACTATCACTAAAGTGTCACTTAGGGGACAGCAAAGAACAGGGAGTCATGATATCAGTGTTTCTTTCCCACAGGTTACCCCCTGCTCCACTGTTCTCGTTGTGTTCTTGGAGTGCTGTAATCTTATAATCTGTAATCTTAAAATCTCTTTAGAAAATGGACTCTCCTTTCATCTACAGACAAGCATGTTCCTCTGAATCCAAATATTCAAGCTGGAAAAACTATCCAAAAAGGCCCATTTATGCTTTTTATGTCATTATTTATGAAGCCTCATAGGGGTGTGTGACAGGTTACAACGTCAGACAAGGCGCAAATCATGAAAAATTCATGGGATCAATTGAACAACCACAGTTGCTGAGAGCAGAGAATAATGACAAGCTGAGCAAAACAACCAGGAGAGCAAATTTTGCTCATTTTAAAGCAATGCAGGCTATTGGCATTGGAAAAAATAATTAATCAAATTTGGCAGCGAAGAAATAGTTTGAAATTTGCTTTTCTTAATGGCCAAGTTAGGATATGCATGCTTGAAACCACACAGCCATGTAAACGACAAGGTTGTGCAATTTAAACAGGAAAAACTGCTTCGCTTGGCAATTAAGCATGGCAAGAGTTTTTACAACTGCTCCTTTGCATGTCTGCAACGCGCTCCAGGAAAAGCTTTGGAGACATTTACGCAGGTCAGGGAATTAAAACCGAGGTACGAAGCTGTTTAGCAAAGTTCAAACAGGGAGAGATGACCAAGTGAGCCAGAAACTGCATCCTGCTTCTCCATCCGTGATCCATGGGCTCCATTTGGTTTAAGCAACATGAACTACAGATTTTTTTTTCCTGTACTATTCTGCTGTTGGTAGCATTTGCTTAAATAGATATTTAATAAAGAAAGCAGTGACAGGAATCAACTTTACCAGATATCGTTGTCTTCTATGGCACCTTAAGCGTCAGCTTAGCAGCTGCAGCTTTGGTCACCAAAACTCATCCATGGAAAGAAAAAAAATGGGAAAGGGAAGGTAGGAGGAGAAGAAATCCATGGAAGAGGTGAAGCAAACCCTAACAAACTCAAAAGATACCACCTCAGTCACTGAGAACAAGGTAATTCAATCTGGATTAAAAAAAAGGATATATCCTTGCCGGTTTCATTTTCTACCACAACATCCTCCATAGCTTCAAAATACTGGCTCCAAAGCACGGGCGAAAAATCACGCTTTCTTCCCGGGCTGCAAGACAAAAAGGTTGCAATAAAATAGAGGTATTTTAAAGTCTTTCATTTAAATTGACATATGGTGGTCACTGCACGCATTTAGCACAATGTGGCAGTGCTATAAAATTGTTTAGGACTGAATGCGGGTGACACGCAGGGGAAATTCCCCCTGGATTTAGCAACTTTACAATTTAGGAACTTCACATTGAGCAAGACGACATCCTCCCTGTTCTGTTTTCTAGTGTGGTTCTTATTAGGGGCATCATAGAGACGCACAGGAAAAGCAGTGCAGGTACCAAGAGAATGTTTTCCCATAAAAAAATACCAAGGAAAAAGCAGAATAGGGCGCACACACAGCGACGTGTTCCAGTAAAACCCTCCAACTTGCAGCGATCCACAAACCACACAAAGGCCACAAACCCAGAGGTGGAATCTTGTTATTTAATAGCCCTGGACTATCCTGAAAGTCGACATGACCGGGAGCATTTCCATGTCTGGAATGCAGGAACTCATCCTAAATTCATGACTCAGCCCATGAATCACAATTCGAATGAAACACATCCCTCTCAGAAGTCACCTTGAGACCACTCACTGGAAAAGCAAAGCATCAGCTGTTTACTGAAGGTTACTACTAATCTAGAAGAGGATATTCAAAAATTAGCATCATATGGGGAACAAAAAAGAGCGCTCGTGAGATTACAGCTTTCCTAGAAAGTTCCTCTTTTAGTGGCATCTAATTTCCGTAAGAGTTATCACCCCAGAAGAAAAGCAAACTGCCCCCATCATCGGGTGGTTGACAGAGAAACCATGCAGAGAAAATTAAACTGAGGTTTCCTGAGGGTCCCTGCTTAGAAAGAGCAGAATAAATTAAATCTGTCATATTTGAAGTTAACGGCGCTAAGTTTTAATTACAGCTCAGGTGTCCTGGAATCCACTGCAATGATTAAAACTTGCACACATTTGTAAACAAGTTCTAGTATTAAAACTCTGTATAGGGCACTGGCAGGACAAGGGAGAAGTAAAGGATCAAGCAATTTCAGTCTAGGTTTCCAAATTTATATTGCCTCATAAATATAAGGACCATGGACTACAGCTCCCTGGATTATCCTTATCCTCTCCTACCTAAGGAATCCAAGTTTCCACGGTGGACAGGTACAGCATCCCATGGGATAAGCCAGCACCTTCCTGCCAGGGCTCTGTGCATCCAAGGAATAATTCCCAAACAGAGGCCATAAACCCAGGCCTGCTTTTCCCAGGAGCACATTTGCAAAACATGAATCACTCCTCAGCTGAAGGGAGACTCATCCCCTCTCTACTAACTCCGGCTGCAATCTCCCGACATCCCAGCATCTCCTGACACGCTGCATCCAACGATGCCCTAAATTAGCCAGTCCTGTGAGGCTCATTGCTGGCTGTATCTAGCACCTCAGGGAACACGAAATTCCCTATAAATCATGGGTGAATGTGGAATACCGGATATTACATAATGTAGGACTTTTAAAGGCGCCTGGTTGATAAACCAATATATTTAAAAAAGAAAAACTCCAATCAAAAGGTGCAGCTGGGCCCTCTCTTCCCACCCCATTGCTAATGAAAGGCTTCTGCAATCAGAATTTTCCTGATGACTCAGCTGATGCCAAATCTGTTTCCCAGGCTTATATTCACTCGGGAGGGCTAAAAGGGTAGTGCTTAATTTTGGCAGCGACAGGATCAGCCTAGATTCAAGCCCGGCATACAGCATGAGAAACAGTGCATCATTTTAACAGGCTTTTTGCATTTTAATTCTTCTGGGGGAGGCATGGAGTACCAAAAGCAGACATGGGTGTGGAGGGTGCAAGACCTTCGCAGAAGAAAACCTGCTCGACAGAAGACGTTTCGCCAGATTTTTCTGCTTCCTTAAAGAAACAAACAAACAAAAAAAAAACAGCAAGTAGTTTTATTTCTACAAAATTGAAAAACTATCCCCCCCGCAACACTTCTAGAATACGAAGCATAAAACACCCACTCCCTGAATGTGCCAAATCCACTGCTGGGGGATTCCAGACTTCAGTACTGCTCTTGTCAAGCTTAAATTAAATGAGATGTAAACCCAGAAAATATACATCTCTTCCACTCCCTCAGATTAATCTCATTTTTTGAAGAGATGAAATATATATATATCTCACACTCAAATCTTCACCTCTCAAAGTACCTGCATAGGTGTCCAAGTATTCGAGGAAGAGAGACATTTGCCAAGACATCCAAGTAACATCCTGCTGGGGGCAAAAAAGGGCACTCCCACTGCAGATTAAGATCCAAAAAAAGCAGCTAATACCAATTTTGATCAGCTTTGTCACCTGTCACAACAAGGTAGCAGCTCAGTGAGGCTGCAGGTAGGTGCCAAAGTACAAGAAACCTTCTTGCTGTCACCAGGACAGGCATCTCCTGCGTCCCCAGCACCACATTTCACTAATGGAGGGTAATTCCCATCAACCATCCACGCAAAATACAAGTCAGTTCCAGGCAGGGCTGCTTTCATGGCATGTGTGACAGCAAGTGCCACAATTTAATTATGTTTTGGGCATAAAGGAGTATCCCTGCTCACTTTCAAGCCCACCATATGATAATGTTTGCCTACTCTTCTTTGTAATATGAAAGACTGCATCATCCTCTATCACACTGTCCTTGCCACGTACTTTTCAGGCCAAAAGTCCTATGTTCTTGATCGTGTCCTGTCTGGAAGCCACGGCAGCCCCAGCATCCTCCCACTCTGCCATTCCCGGGTCTTCCTGGAGATGGAGAGAAAAACTGCCCACAATCCAGATGAATTTCTCTTCTTTGGGTCTGGAAAATTACTTACTACAATCCATTACCTGATTGCAGTTGGCCCTATGTTTTAAAAAACTACATTATTCCAAAATCTCTTTTGTGAGTGATATAGTTCAGATGTGCAGTTAGTGACACCAAATTCCATTAGCCTTTTCAAATGCTGCATTTCAGTGCTACGACTTTTTTTCCAGCCTGTTATAGCTGGTTTTCTGGTTTGAGTGTCCTGAATAAATCCACTTGATGCGCAAATATCTTCCCTCTAGTTGTATCCTTTCCCACAGATAAATCTGGAAAACAACAGGAACTTACCAGGGAACTCCCTTTTGTCAGGAGAGTAGAAAGTTTGTTCCTAACTCCTTGTTTTCTCGCAGATAACTAATTACTAATGAGAGGATGAGTCTTCACACTTGCACACTAATGCCACAAGCCCAAGCGATAGCAATGAGGAACTGGAGCAGTTTCAGTTGTCACCGAGGGTCTTTGGCTCCGACAACCTCCTTGTCACCAGCAGCAACACCCAATTCTAATTCTCTCCAATTCAAGGAGGCAACTGGAGAAGATTGGGAGAATCACATAACTGAGGCTGGAAAGCAGGAAAGACTTTATGGAGCCTGATCTGTTTAAAAACAAGGGCAGGAGTGAGCTGGGGTGAGGGACTGAAAGAGATCCCTGAGGAAGAGGAAGGAAGAGCAGAGCGCTAGGAACCCATGGGATCAGCTCTGAGCCCTTCCCTGGGAACACTGCACTCTCTTTGAGACAGAAGCATTAATAAATACCTCAAAAATCCAACTTATTAAGAGGTAATAGCTCCAGAGGAAACATTAGCAGCTCTGTGTCAGATATATGAGATATAGAAGAACAACAACCACCAGAAACTCTTGCTTTTGCAGGGGAATTAGAGCAGAAAGTGAAGAGAACCTGGGAATTAAAAACCATTGTCACCTCTGATGAAAATATTTGCAGATTGCAATTTAAAGCAAAATACTCCAAGCAATATTCGGGAGAGTCCGAGACCTCTAATTTCATCCCAAGCCCCTGAAAGAGCAAGAACCACCACACTATTTTCCACAAAATGCCTAGCGACTGCACCAGGCAGAGCAATGGCTGATCTTAAAGAAACACTGGTGTCTGAACCACATAAAGCAATCGCAGCACAGCACTAAAATTAAAGCACTAGAGCACAATTTGGCCTTTTTCTGAAGAGAAAAAATAGTATCTTAAACTTATTATTATTCTAAAGCTTCTTTTTTTTTTTTCTTCCCAGTGATGCATCAACACACTCAAAAGGAAAAGCCAGCCCAGTCAACAGCAGCTGTGATTTTGCACCTTCCTTTGCTGAAGCCACATTTTGCTGACCAAATATTTAAATGGACAGGACTAATTGCTGCTTTTTTAAAGCATCCAGCAGACTGAAACAGAAGCAGATCCAACCAAATAACATTTTTCAGAATGATCTTTCAGCTCAAAACCAGCCAACTACCATATCTGAAGCAGAATCGCTAAACAAATTCTGGGCATTCTCTGCAGCTAATTTTACCCTTTTGTGCAGCTTGTTCTCTCCATCACATAACAAAAACATGCACAAGCTGCAAGGGAGCAACAGGAGCCCACGTGGATGGATTTAAAAGCCCCTTCTGCTCACCAGTTTGTAGAGGGCCTTTCTTCCAGTTATCCCCTTAAAGGAAAGTTGTACCAAACACCGAGAACCATTTTTAAACATATATGTTTCCCTGATGACCTAGAAAATATGTTTACAGCTATTTAAGCAATTATAGGACTGAGCATATGAGAATCAAGAGGCTTAATTCTTGTACTATATTTGAGCCACACCAAGGTATATCAAATACAAGCTAATACATGAGAACTGTCGTGCCTGGCAAGTTGTAGTTTAAAAGTCTGAATATTGACAAAAACTTTTTTCTTCTTAATATACTATACTGAATATATACTGAAAATATAATATACTGAAAATATAATTAGTTTCTTTACAAAAAATGTTTTGGGAATGAATGATTCAGAAGGAAGTCATTAGTTGTCACTATGGAATTAAACGGATGAGATCCTATCACAGCCTTTTGGATAACAAAAAGATCTTAGGACCATCACACACAAGTTTTATTCATGGATTAGAACAGAAATGGAAACTCTTCTTCATTTTCAATTCCAATTTGGATTCTCAAGCCTGAATAAGCTAGCTGCACAAGCAAACAATTTAAAATATAAACTAAAAGGTCTGCACACACAAGCTGTTACAGCTGTCAGGAGCTGTTCCCATAGCTCTTGGTCCTTCTGCTTCACCAGTAGTTTTATAAATCCCATTATTTGATTTGCTTCAAGAATTTTGACCATAAAGTTTGATTTCATTTCCCTTACAACTGAGTGATTCACATGAAGGCCTCAATATACGCTGGTGCATTCCAAAGGCAACTGCAGGCAGATTTGCTCCTTAAAAGTTCATTTTACATGTCCCTTTTTTGTTTGAGTTCCTCTCTCTTGTGTGATGTTTGCGGACAGCATAAGCCAAAAAGAGGCATCATCTTCCTTCAAAATAGGGGAAAAAAAATATTTCAATAACATTGCTCTCTCCAGTTGAGCAATTCAGTCAGAGAGCACTTAAACACAAATAAAGGCAGTGAGTGCTACGCTGGCAAAAGTGGGTATTTCTGGAATAGCACACGCACATGTGCGAGGCTGCAGATGGGGGCTGTAATTTAGGGGACGCCAGGTAGCAGAAATCAATGCAGAGTGCTGTGAAATATGAACAAATTCAGCGTACATCTTGTAGCACTGTAAAAGGCTGTTAAAACTATGTTGCAGCAGCCATTTTAACCATTCGGCTCTCTGGTTTTCATTTAAATATTAATACCGGTTTTATGCTTGAATCAAAGATTTGGGATCCCTATTGCCTCACCGGGGTTGTCCTGTCACTCTACGCTGCCTTTCCAGCTCAGGAAAGCTCGAGGAATCTCAGCACTGCAGTAAATTATTTTTTGGTTTGCCCAGAGCAACATTCCCTGCTCCACCTTGGGGTTCTCAGGAGCTGCTTTCGCCCACACACCATGGAACAAACTGCATCTTCCCAAGGTAGCCATAAGCCCAGCTCAGACACAAAAAAATTGACACAATCGTGGGCAGGGGGCAAGTGGTAACTGTTGAACTGCAGAAAACAACTTGTGGGGGAAGGAAGAACAGAGTCATGCCAAAAAAAAAAAAAATCACCTGGGTTGTATGGATGAAGTTATCGCTAAAGGCACAGAAAAACTGCGCGACGAATGAACTTCTGCTGAGGTTTGATGTCCAGTTTTGGGCAACGTTGTCCCTTTTTGGGTATCTATGTCCAAAAGGAAAGCTGACCTCTTACGGTCATC